GTAGTCTATTTAGTCGATGTTAAGAGAGATTTTTGTTAATTTTCAACGTTTATTTGCATAGTTTGTTACATAAAGGTTTTTTCAATTTATGTGAGTTTAAAGAGATCTCAGTGATGCTTAAAAAAGAATAAATTTAACATGAAGACTGAGTGATTTTAAGTCTGGTTAGTCTGACTCTGAGTCTGATTAGTTAGAGTGATTAAATTAGCTAGGTGTATACTGTAAAATATGTTGATTTTTGTCTAAATTTTGATTTGATTTCTGTAAGATTTTCTTACTTTTTATTAACTCTCAATACCGAAATAATCCCGGGATCCAGGGATTGACTAAGTATAATCCCGAAATCCCGGGATTAGAAATAAGGACCGGGATCGAATTCCCTACTCACTTCCCACTTTCCTATCTACCTTTCCCCCTTTCCCCCTACTTACTCTTTCCTCTCTCCCCACCCTCATAATCCTTCATTTCAAAGGCTACAGACTCCTAATTCTTTACTTGTATTGTGTCTGTCCATAAGACACAGTGGTATCAGTCCTGAAGTAGTGCCAACCTTTCAGTCACATAATTAACTGACAAAGTCTAAATAAATAAGCAAAAGTACTTTTAAGTTTTTAGTTTGATTAAACAGTATATTTGTTCAACATTGTTTTTTATATTGCATTTATTTCTTCAAGAATCAGGGAATGTATTATTGCAGTATATACTGTAGTACTTTCAAATTCAATAACAATACAAATTCAAGTTTCTATTTGCTCATAGACTATGAATAGAACATTGGGGAAGAGAACATGAAACCACCCCAATTATATATTCCCAAGAAACCATCATAAAGACTGAGACAACTAATATAATGGCCTCTAGTCCCCATCAAGTCTTAAGTGGCAAAGAGTACTGAGAATCTCTGAGTCTATGAAAATGAAACTAGCAACCTGGAATGATAGAAGTATGTATGATGCAGGTAAAATCCATAATGCCATCAAAGAGATAAAGAAAATGAAAACACATGTGCTTCGTATTAGTGAAATGTGTTTGGCCCAGGACAATGTACTGTTGATAAACAAGCAATATTTTATGCTGGTGCAACTATTTATGTTATAATCTCATAATAGCAAGAATCAATGTAAAAATATTAACACACTATAATGGTATAGCTATAATAATGGAAAATATATTAAAAGTTTAATTAAACTATTTTATAACATTCAATTATATTATAATTGTGAGAACTCTGGCTAAATGAAAAAAACCTGCTTAATTTACAAAAGAAATTTCTGCTAAAATTTTCCTTTTCACAAGAGCAGGAAGTGATCCTATTTTCCCATGGAATTGCTTCCTTGTGCATAGATGACACATCTCCTGACACTGTATCAGGAACATAACATAATAAATCGTTATTGGTCTAACTAGTCAACATTGCCTTAAAAAAGCATTGAGAGAAAAGGGAAGGACCATCAAATAAGAAGGATCAATGACAACAGAGTTTGCCCATCAGCAAGAGTTGGTCATGATTGCACATTTTCCTTGGATATGCCTCTTTGCCCCCAATTACCACCTAGACCAACCTACCATCTACCTACCTGCCCACAGAAAATCTTACATCGAACTATTGAACTATCTAACATCCAGAGGGATCTACAGGTCATATACATAATCAAAGAACCAGCCTATTAAGTGCTACCAGCTTATCAAGCATATAACGACTACAGGTATTTATCATCGCACGCATAAGTTTAAACTCTTTCTCTTGGTTAGGAATCCAATATGGTTTAATTGAGATGCTATTTGATTACTATATAGTCAACCCAATGAATAATTTAATATGTAAATAAACAGCTCTTATTTTTGGTAATAGAGCTGTAGCATGCACTTCTTCCAGATGTGCCATCTTACAGTCTCCTCTATCCCGAATCTGACCACCTGCACACAGAACCACTTGTGCGTAAAAACAAACTTAGTGGCCATCAAGGTTTGTGTGTCTGTCCATATTGTGTATGTAAATTTTTCTTTGGCCAGTTACAGACCTTGGTTGCCTGTTCAGGTGACTCACTTCTAGAGGATTTGATCCTGGGATCTCGAAAATCGGGATCCCGGGATCCCGACCACTTTTCAGTCTCGAAATTTTCGGGATTAAGTTTTCCTAATCCCGAGATTTTCGGGATTGACATCATTTTAAAAAAGTTGCAAAATAGACTGCATGAAGCGAAACGTTCAGTGCCAGTGCTTTTAACAGAATTGTTTGCCTATCATTTTAATATAAAATATGAGAAATTTTCTTTCAAGCAAGCAGCAGAAATTAACCTAGCGGGCTTGCGATGCTTGCTTGGAATAAAACTTCTTGTATTTTCAACTAAAATGATAGGCAAGCAGTTCTCACTGGGTTACTTGGTAATATACTTCATTTTTGTATTTTTGAATTTTCGCGGGCGCCAATCGATTTTCTGGCGCAGTCGAGAGCACTACTCAGTGCGTTTTACCTGTCAATGTGTCAGCCATCTTGTTTTGCCAGTGTGGTTAATATAGACCCGACGCCTCTCGCTTAGGGGGGTCGACCTTAGGTGAAAAGGTTACGACCCCCGCCTTGCCCGTGATCTGTCAGGATGATGCGAGAAAGTCTTTTTACGTTTGGGAGTAGTGGTTTGCTGGATGCTGAGAGACTCACACAGAGACCGAATTTACAAAATTAACGTGTTTATTTTTAGAAAGGCATGCTTACAATGATCGAAACAATCGGGATTGTAGCCTTTACTCCTACAATCCCGATCTGTGTCGACCGGACTGTTTTCTTCCAACCTCCCCGTGTCCTCGAAGCTATAACTAGAACGGGCTTATAAGTATTTACTAACGATTCCTCCAACTTCCATCAAACCTAAACGCGTTTTCTCAGCAGCTGCATATATGTGCAACAAATTGAGAAGCAGACTTGGTGATGAGACACAGGATGCGTTGTTATTTCTCAGATCATATTTTCGCAATTCAAATTAGAATGTTCCTATTAGATTAGTTTTCTTTATATTTAAGAAAAATGTGACTGATTAATATTATTTTTAAATACTTTTTGCTAAGAAACTTATCTTACTACCTACTTACTAGGTTGCTATATGAAAGTAGTCTATTTAGTCGATGTTAAGAGAGATTTTTGTTAATTTTCAACGTTTATTTGCATAGTTTGTTACATAAAGGTTTTTTCAATTTATGTGAGTTTAAAGAGATCTCAGTGATGCTTAAAAAAGAATAAATTTAACATGAAGACTGAGTGATTTTAAGTCTGGTTAGTCTGACTCTGAGTCTGATTAGTTAGAGTGATTAAATTAGCTAGGTGTATACTGTAAAATATGTTGATTTTTGTCTAAATTTTGATTTGATTTCTGTAAGATTTTCTTACTTTTTATTAACTCTCAATACCGAAATAATCCCGGGATCCAGGGATTGACTAAGTATAATCCCGAAATCCCGGGATTAGAAATAAGGACCGGGATCGAATTCCCTACTCACTTCCCACTTTCCTATCTACCTTTCCCCCTTTCCCCCTACTTACTCTTTCCTCTCTCCCCACCCTCATAATCCTTCATTTCAAAGGCTACAGACTCCTAATTCTTTACTTGTATTGTGTCTGTCCATAAGACACAGTGGTATCAGTCCTGAAGTAGTGCCAACCTTTCAGTCACATAATTAACTGACAAAGTCTAAATAAATAAGCAAAAGTACTTTTAAGTTTTTAGTTTGATTAAACAGTATATTTGTTCAACATTGTTTTTTATATTGCATTTATTTCTTCAAGAATCAGGGAATGTATTATTGCAGTATATACTGTAGTACTTTCAAATTCAATAACAATACAAATTCAAGTTTCTATTTGCTCATAGACTATGAATAGAACATTGGGGAAGAGAACATGAAACCACCCCAATTATATATTCCCAAGAAACCATCATAAAGACTGAGACAACTAATATAATGGCCTCTAGTCCCCATCAAGTCTTAAGTGGCAAAGAGTACTGAGAATCTCTGAGTCTATGAAAATGAAACTAGCAACCTGGAATGATAGAAGTATGTATGATGCAGGTAAAATCCATAATGCCATCAAAGAGATAAAGAAAATGAAAACACATGTGCTTCGTATTAGTGAAATGTGTTTGGCCCAGGACAACGTACTGTTGATAAACAAGCAATATTTTATGCTGGTGCAACTATTTATGTTATAATCTCATAATAGCAAGAATCAATGTAAAAATATTAACACACTATAATGGTATAGCTATAATAATGGAAAATATATTAAAAGTTTAATTAAAAGTTTCACAGCCTTGTCAAACTTCTGATGCAGTTCAACTTCAGACTTTCTAACACAAATATACAAGTTTATGCACCTACTTCTAATTGCAGTGAAGAAAGGTGAAATAATTCTATAAGACCTAGAAACAGGCATTGAATATCACTAGGTTATCTAATAACACCATAGTTATGGGAGATTTCAATGTTAAAAGTTGGGAAAGACTGATGCAACAGAATTGTTGGACACTATGATTTAGGTAGAAGAAATGAAAGGAAGATAGATTCATATAGTTCTGTTAGGAGGAAGATTTTATTGTACAAATACATTTCATAAATTGCCTCCAAAGAGACATATCTGCACACAACACCAGGATGAATATAAAACAAGACTCACTTCAACCAATAATCGGTGTGAATTATGATTAATTTGAGATTTTTACGGCTTGCTGCAGATCCTCATGCATTAATTTTAGGGAGGAGATGTGTCTTTCAATGGCATGGCAGGCTTTACTTGGCAATGATATTTAATGTTCGATCTTATTTAAACATGTCATGGGAATGCATGCACATAAGGTCTCATTTCTCAAAATCTTCATCTTACCATTCAATTTTATGTTTGGATTTTATATTCATGGTTAATTTTGGAAGATCCAGCTTAATCAGAATTAAAAAAAGCCTGAAGAAGAATCCAGAAGGGATTACAAAAACGTTTGTTATTCAAGAGTTAATCATAATTCACACTGGTTATTGGTTGAAATGAGTCTTATTTTATGCCTCCAAGGAGATCGTATACATGGAAATCAAATGCAGATTCAGACAAGAGAACCATTAGAAATCAGACTGACTTCATACTTATCAGAACAAGTTTTAAGAATGAATTTTAATTAAGTGAAATTTGTCAAAACATATTAAACATACCCTGGTGTAAATATTGCATAAGATGACAATCTAGTAATGGCAGTGGTATATGGAAAGCTAAAACAATTAGCAAAGAACAAAAACTTAAAAAATTGGATCAAACATTATTAAGAGATAACACTATTAAATGAAAGATTAGTAAAGAAGTAAATAGAAATATACTGAATATAACTCTGACTAACAAAACATTTGAAGACATCTGGAGAGAGATTAAGGAACTCCTATTGAAGACATGATGAATATTTCAAGATAACATCTGATTATAAAAAGAACTCCTGGATAATAAATGAAATTTTAAATTTGATGAACCACGTTGACAGCAGAAAAACAAAAATTAAAAACTATATAAGAATCTATGAAGGATAATTTGTAGAAAAATTACAGAATCAAAAACATTGTATTTAACAGAAAAATGTCTAGAAATAGAAAAACTTGAAAATAAACATGATTTATTTATTATAATATGCATAAAACATTAAGGAAGCAACAGGTATATATGATAAACCTAAAACAGGAAATTTATATAATATACAGAGAGAGATCATAATAAATGAAAAAGAAAAATTTAAAGAATGAGAACATTATATTTCAAGTTATTTTTATGACTTTAGAGTAGTGTACCCTCAGAGAGAGAGACCTGCAAGGTCCATCATAATTATGTGTGAAGAACTATAGTATACCACTAAACTAGCAAAAAGTGCAAAGGCAACTGGGCCAGATGAAATACCTTCTGAAATCTACAAGCTTATAATAACTAAGAAAACATTAAGAAAATTAACAGTTTTTTAATATAATATATACTACTGTTAATATCCCTGTAGACTGACTGGAATCAGAGTTTATTATAATCCCTATGAAATCTAATGCTAAAAGATGTAATGATTATAGAATGATAAGCTTGATGAACACCTGCTGAAGATCTTTATTCAAGAAACTTACAGATTAGATACAAATCTCACTGATGGCCAATGTTCTGTAAGGACATGGCACAACAAGAAGAATTGCAATATATTACTGAACTGTCAATATTGAATTAACATTACTGTTTTGATAATTAAAATAATTTCACTACTTACCATACATTGAAAAGCCATGAAAAGGAATTACTCCATTTGGTGGATAAACAACCATATCTTCTTCTTGCCCTGTTTTTCCTCGAAGTGGAGCTTTTGGAGGAGACGCACTGCTATATTCAAAATGATCTAATACATATGTGTCACGAGAGAAAACCAATAATATCTAGAAATAATCAAACAATACTTTAAATAATCTGAAATTTATATAATTATTGGAATAAAATAGCAAAATTTTAATTTATTTAAATATTTTAAAATAATCCTAACAAAAACCTTTCTTTTATTTTTAAAGAAAGTTTGATTCTAATGATAATTTATAATGTTGCATAACGTAATTAGAGTATAAACTACATATACATCAAATTATTAAGACAAATTTTTTATGTATATTATTTTATTTGGTGATAACCTTCAATATAATTTGTTACCCAATATTTTAACTACAAAATCTTGATTTCAACATTTAAAATTTGTTAAATTCATTAACTACTTTATTATTGAGAGATACCCAAACACTACAGGTTATTCAGTTGATCCCACTTATGCTAATTCTGGCATTTGGACCTGATCTTCAATGATGTAAACCAACATAGATAAGGAATAGGAAATGATATTAATTTGTACTACATACAAAAAATCATAATTGTCTGGATAAAATTCAAATCCAGATCTTTCAAATATATTTGTTATTGATATTCTGTATTTTAGTACAGTATATATATTTTAATGGGATTCATTTATTGTTCATTGCATCAGGGGTATTGGAGCTAAGACAATAATATGTATTATTATTTTAGTGACGTTGCCTGTTTAAAATAAATAAATAAATATTCTTTGAATAAAGTTCTAACTGAATAATACTGTACATTTGACAAATATATATATATATTCACATGTACACTGTAAAATATTCACAATACCTGATATAGTAAATCTTCAAAAACAAAATACTGGTCATCATTGGAAGCAGTTAAATGGACATCCTATCAGGAAAAAATACACATAAATAAAACAGAATATAACTGATTAAGTTACTTTAAATACTATACATCATTTAAAATGTTACTTTAAAAATTAATTTATCAATCATAAGATCATGCTGAAATACACAGGATTTTAAATGTTGAAACTTCAAGCATTCCTGAAATATAAAAAAAATACTACAATTTAAAATTTTCATTAATTAGAATTCACTGATTAGTTTTACAATAAATTAATAAAACTTTACATACTGCATCTGTTGTTTCTACACACAAAATTAACCGCCACAATTCACCTCTAAGTGAAGATGGACAACCTCTTTTTGAAAATTCTCTAGCTAATAATGCATCTCCTGCTTGCAGAACTGTAATAATAAAAATTTTAATCAGAAAAGTAAATAATAGTCTTAATTTTATGACAAAAAAATAATAACAAAGGAATCTGAAGTAAATGTTAGAAAAAATATATATAAATTTTAAATTGTAAGAGTACTCTGAAGTAAATTCTAAAATATAATGTAATATAAATTTAAAAATTAATGTTACACCTTTCTTTCCTAATGTAACTCTTTCATGGAGAAAACTATTTGATGTATCCGTATTCAAAACTGGACAGTCATCAACACCTAAATGGCTTACATTAGTTGACAGTTCTTCATATTCATTTCTCTAAAATGAAAAAAATTATAAATTAAAACATTCAAATAGATAAGCTAAATACTTTCAATTTTCTCAAAATAGTATAATGTTGTAATTTTAGTTGAGTTATTTATGAAATTTTATTAAATCCAGTAGTGTTTCGTTTAATGTTTGAAATATAAATTTCAAATTTAATTGATCAATATATTTGTTAAATATTCAAGCTTAATCTTTCTGACAAAAAATTAATTATTATTTATTTTTAAACTTACCAATTCTTGTAAATCTTTAACTTTCAATGAAACTTTTATTTGGCCCCATAATGCTACACTATAAAAACAGATAAAAACTTAAATTTTGAGCAACAAAATATTACATAAGAATTTAAGTATATAGATAAAAAAATCATGCAATATTTTAAAAGCTATATATATACACATTTCACATTTTATATAAAACTCTGTATAATTTTATTATCATACTATAATACATAATAAAAATAAACTAAATTCAAAATTAAATTACTGTATTTTCAATTCTTTTAATCATATTGTGAGAATCATTTCAAAGTATCTCATATTCATACTTCATACTTTTTAAAAAAATAGAGTTTGTTCTACATTTTACTTTTTCACAGTTCATAAATATACTGGATAAGGAAAAGTGGTCTAAAACCATCCTTTTAAGACAAAAATTGTTGTAAAACTTGATTCATAAAGAATTAAAATTTGCAATTGCATATTCTATTATACTTCAGCAGTATCATATACATTTTACTAAAAAAATGGGCAAAATTATGACATCATCACAATGTCTGGTTAGAATATTTAATCATATTTTTAATTTATTTAATTTAAAATATATGCTCTTCAGTTTAGTAAAATCTTGCCTGTACACATCATACTTTACCTGATAATAACAGAGTAATATCAGTCATCTAGCTAACTCTGTTCTGGAGAAAATTTTTGAATTGAAATTATATTATTTCCAGTCCAGACTGAAAGATCACATATTAGGCCTCCTGCTCCTAAGTTTTCCATATCTGGTCTTGATTTTCATCTATCTAACTCTATTCTTGAGATTAAGAACAAACAGACAACAGATGGATACCAGTGGAAATTTATATGTCTGCAATTTGAAAATTGCAGCCCAATTAAGTGTTTTTATTTACAATAATGTTTAACTTTGCAAAAGGATCATTTTACCCCACTGAGTAAGATAAAATTATCCCACCATTTAATTTCTACAGAAAAACAAATTCTTTAAAAAAAATGAAAAAAGAAAACAGTATATCTTCACTTATATCATATGTTAAAACACTGTATAAATGTAATGAAATTTCTATGGAAAGATAATACTTGTTAAAACAACAATAAAAACTGTTAGGTTTACTAAATAAAGAAAATTAAACAAAATTGATAACAACAGGATAGAACAAATATGTGGATAACAAATGAATAGCACTTCACATATTCTTCTACTAACTTTAAAATATTTATTGTAATAGTTTCTACACAATAATAGCATTTGTATTGATCATAGTATAGTGTTATATAATATATATATATATATATAACACAACATTACTTTATCAGTTTCTGCCTACTTCAGTTCTTACTTTCTGCTTCTTTCATCCCCTCTCCCTGTCCTTCTCTTCTTTTCCCTTTATATTCCATCCAATATACATATATATTGGATGGAATATATATACAGTGTGTGATTGGTTAACGAACATAATCCATTCCAAGACTTTGTTAACCAATTATTGATTTACCATAGGTTTTAATGGGAATTTAATTAATTCGTTCTGGTGACTCCCAAAAATAAAAAATATATACTTTTTTAGTATGTTTATTTATATGTAATAATAAAAATATATACATACACAGTCTTGTGTTTTTATTAGTCATGTTTTTTCCGTTTGAAGGGGTTAAAGAATCTGTCTAATGTCGATTGTTTTTCTCACTTCTTCAGGATTTTTCGTAAGTAATTAATAGCATTGTAATTGTAGAGATCCCCAAGCCTCAACGTGGTTTGGATGCCATTCTAAGACCATTGTTCTGACATCCTCCCACTTCTTCAAAGGATCTTTAATAACAGATATTGGCATTAATCCTCTTTTTCAGAAGAAAACATATCTCACCGAGTTTCTTGATGTTCATTCAAGAGTTCTTGGTGTTCTTCTGTCATCAGATCTGTTTCAGGTTCCATTATGAACTCTTCGATGTTCTTTATTTTTCAGATGTGATTTTTGTTACTCCTTTAGCTGCTTGAGTCTTCTTGATTATACAGTATTTTTCTTAAATAAGATTGAACTGTAGCCTACTGTAGACTTTATAGAAAATATATTTCTTTTTGACCATACATACATAGATGAGTCTTTGTCCATTTTCTGTCCCTTCACATGCTGTACGAGGCAATAACAAATTCCACCAGCGAAGTCGACCTTTTTATGTAGGCTACTATTTGCCGTAAAATGTAAAATAGTTAATAACCTCCTCTAGCAGTAGCATAACAAATTAATAATTACATTTGATTAAAAAAAATATATATATATTTTTTAATCAAATTTTATCAAAATATTATCAAAAAAGAAATATATTTTCTATAAATGTCATAATTTGTCCTGGCAATTTTTTATTTTTTATCTACTGTAGACTTGTTTACGCCATACTGCCCAGCAACATTAGGCATCTTCTGCCCACTCTCTACCTTTGCTATTATACTCTCACTTTTCTAAAAGAAAAACAGACACAAAACGTAACGAGTGCCTACCCGACAGTCTTGCAAATACACAGAAGAATTGTTTTGTCAGAAAAATAAAAGGCTGGAATTACAATGGATAGTTTCAAAGCTCGGAGGAATACTATCCGATCAGTATATACTGGCTTGAGCGTCAATGTCGATGTCTCCCACACTCCGAAAAGTTTCGAATTGTTGCCCAAAGGGAAGACCAACCGGTATTCGTTATTTTATGTCACTTCTTCTTGTGTTTGTTCTGTGGTATGTTCATTATCCAATCATGTGTTCATTGTCCGAACATAAAAATCTTTCACAAAAGTGTTTGTTATCCAATTTGTTTGTTAACTGATCACCCACTTTGTGTGTGTGTGTGTGTGTGTATACTTTTAATTTTCCTTTTAATACTAAACCAAAACAAAACAAATGTCACTTGTATCTGTCTAAGTATCATTATTAGGATGTTCCTCAGATAGGCACTTAACTGTAAGAAGAAAGTTAGGCCACATAGGGATAAACTAAGAATTATTATATGAGAATGAATTTTGTGCACCTTGGAGATCAGAATGAATGACTTTGATTGTTCTGTACATATCATAAGTAGAGGTAATTTGGTGAAGAGTACATAGCCAGTTATAACCGTTTAAAATTTTGAACAAGATTGCTTGTGCTCTGAATAAAATCCATCTTTCTTTTAACAAATTATGCAACTTACCTGATACTCAAAATCTAGCATTGCTAGAGTTAGTCTGGGTTTTCCATCATTCTTCAAATGTATTAAATATTTGGATCATTTATTATATTACACATTTTTAATAGTCTCATTTATTCAGATTGGATTTCTTTGCAAATACCTCTGAGAAATCTATGCCCTTCAACTTGTGTTTTTACTTGTTCTTTCACCTAAACTTATTTCAACAATCTTTCTTTTATAATATTTCTCAGAATCTAAATAATTTTGATGATCTAATATATATTAATTTATCTAGTTTTAAACTAACCTGTAAACAAGCACTGAGTAATTTTTAATAATTTGTAATAATAACTAATACAGGTATACCTCGCCTTACGTCGGTAATTGGTTCCAGGAAAACGACTTAAGTCGAATTTACTTGTCTCCGAATCTACTTGTCACTAGGCTAAACCATAAATTACTATTCCCAGTTTTATATTTTATTTATTAATGCATGTTTAATAATATATGGTTAATAAGAATCTATTTTAAGCTTACAAACAAATAAATTTTAGTTTTTAATAGAGTACAGAAAAAAGTAATCTAAATTTATGAATGAATGTACTGTACTGTAAATACAGTACATACTTGTAAATGTATATATTTTAATATGATTTTATGTGCTTTAAATGCTTTTCTAGTGATATTACGACTTCAATATTTGTGGCGAACGGACGTAAAGTCGAATAAAATGACTTAAATTTGATTTTTATTTTTCCGTATACTTTTTTGACAAACGACATATAATCGGGAACGACGTAAGTCGAGGTATACCTGTATGCAACATACAAATTTTTTACTGGCATGTATTGTACTTTTTTAACTATTTCATTTATTTTTTATGTATACTTGTTGATTACTTTTGTTTTTACTTGTCTTTTTATTTTTTTGGGGTGGATATCATTTGTCTTTCAGGTTTTTTCCTGTATTTTGTAAAAATAAATAAAAAAAAATAAAAAGAGCAGCTGTTTCTGATATGGCCCTAAGATGATAATACTAGTTACAAGAGAATTAGCACATGCTCTGGTTTTCAATCTTCATTAAGCCCACAGGAGCAAATAGATATATCCTTGAGTTTTAACTTATGTAGATAATATAAGAAGTAACATAGCCAGTTACAAGCTGAAAACTATTAATAAAACCTGTGAGTAAAATGTTTTGTTTTGTACATGGTAATAACATTAAAAACAGATTACATATTTCTTTCAAAGTTGTTTTTTGTCCAATGGTATACATCTGTCAGTGGTTACAAATCAGCTAGAAACAATTCAAAAAGTTCACATTCTTCATAATGTCATCAGCATGTTAGAAAAAATACAACAATGATTTGGCTTAAGAGTTTCAAATAATCAGAAATTGATGGGATAATAGGATAATAGTTAATAAAGTTCTGCCACCAAACTAAATGAAAAGCTTTTTAACCAGGTTGTTGAATTGTTCATTCATTTCTTACAAATATTATTGTACCATATTATTGTATTAAAATTATTGTATTATTGTACCATATTATTGTATTGTATTATTATAGCATTCATTAGATATAGGAACTATCTTGATATTTGTTACAAATGGCATAATGTCAAAAGATTATCATCTTGTAAGCATTCTTCAAGATATACTTTACAGGTATCCTTTGACTAACATGGTTAAATAACACAGGTCAACAGAAAAAAATTTTTTTTTGATGCCTAGGATTTTAGTACTGCTTTTAGCTATATTTGGGTCGCTGAATCCAAATATGAAATCAGTTTTTCTCTATCAGCTCTACTTTTTTAGTATCAGGTCTGTAAAACTTGTACAGAACATTTACAACAGTGGACTACTGGGAAAAGAAAAAGTCTGAAATATGGCGTAGCGATGGTTTGGATTGAACCCAA